GACGGGGACACACAACTGAAGCAGACTGCATTGCCGAGAAGCCACAGAATGTCACTCAGACCTGCACTGGAAATTGCATGAATGAGATACAAACCCTTATGCTAAGCCACAGAGACTTTTGGAGTTGTTATTTCTGCAGTATAACCTGGCAAACCATGACAAACGCATCCCCCAAGGGTACTGACATCAGGGGACGTTTATTTACATGGATCTCTGTAGAACCCATGGTTTTGAGCAGAATGTTCTTCCTAGTGTATACCTCTTATTGCCCTCTACAAAACATAGAGGAGAATAAAAATGCCAACCACATCTATATGTCAAAACAAAAATAGCCACATTTTGACCTCTTTTGTCTGAAGTGTTGGTGACTTTAATTTTAAAGGAATAATTGGTTACAAAGTGCCTTGTAACCATGGACAGAATGTTTGTTCTAGTTCTTTCCCCAGGAAATTGCATAAATGGCATCAGGAGAGAAGAGGGTCAACACATGACCACTAATGTGATTAATTAAAGGGCTTAGTGTAAATGGCCAGTGGTATTTAGTGGTACCTTGGAGAGATTAATGTTGGTTAAACACATCAGTGGAGGGGGCAGATTAATAAATGATTCAGTGGCTGTGAAAGGGGTTAGATTATTTTTCAGTGGAGCAATTAATAAATATCTCTACCTCCACATTACATGTGGGGGATCTCACTTTAATCCTTTAAATGCTTTCACCATCTGTAATTAGGTAATTAGTTGTGGAACAATGTAGCACATACACAAGGAGAAAGAAAAACAACAAATGCGTATGAATAAATAAAAGCTGTTTATTTTGTTTCAAATCAGTGCTTTCTGTTTCTTTTCTTGGTGAAGTATAACAATCTTCCCAGCAGCCTTACTGCCCCTCCACAGGGGTGGGGGCCTAGTTTTGCCCTCTGCACAAAAGCACCTCAGATAGTACAGAACTGGGAACCCACCAGCACTCCACTCAGTGCCTTTTAGTTAATTTCTAAGCAGGTGTCAGAGGAAAGCCTAAAGCTGACCCCGGAAGGAGATCCAGGACACCAGATCTGAAATAAGGCCTCGGCCAGTTCTCTTTCTCTTTGAGGAAGGAAGTCTCACTAGAGTTTTGAATCATTCTGCTTCTGATTCTGCCCACTTCTCTCTTCCTTCCTTCAATTACTCCCCTTGTTTATTCCTTCCTCATTCTGTGACCTGTTTGCCCGCTCAGGAGGGTTAGGTGCTGTGGGATGTTTAAGACCTTGCCTTTGAAAAGTTTCCGATTTATTTGGAGTTGGAGAAATAAGACCCAAATCTATGAGAAGTTTGCTATTTATAACGCAATATAAGCCTTGTGCCAAATTAGTGGGGCGAACAACGAGGTCTGCAGGGGCCTGGAGGCATTGGCTTCAGAGTCATCTTTTCTCGTCATCACTCCTGATCTCCCCCTACACACACTTGCATTTTCTTCTCCAGGTCCGTGACTTATGCACAGGGTAGCTTTGGTCTTTTGTGATAATGAGGCCACAGATCATTTTAAAACTATATTCTTTTGTCTATGTCATAAGTAACACAAGAACAGCAGTTATTAACCTGAAGAGACAATTTCCAGACAGGTTCAGTATGATAAGAAAATGGCTGATTGTTCCTTATTCTTTGAGTTTTAAGAGATGTGACATCCTCTTTGAGAGAGTGAACAGGAAGGCTAGGAGAACCTGCAAAATAAAGAGATGAGAAGAGATAGAAAAGCAAGGACTGTGGATGTTCAATTCACCAGCTCTTACCCAGTGCTTAGCACAAGCTACTTAATAATTTATTAAATAAATGAATAAACAGTGAGGGTTGGTGGAGTAGGAGAATAGAGACAAAAATGCCACATGGGTGGGTGTCAAAGAGAGTTTTGATAGTGGATTGAGGGAGTTTTGGAAATGAGTTCCCAAGTGCGCCACGGGCTCAGCCCTAAATTAATAAATTTTAATAGATTATAGATTCTTTTGTCTTTTCTCCATATATGATCCTATTATCTACAAATAGACTATACTCCACAAATCCCTTATACAGTGATCTGTCAAAGTTTTTTTTTCAAATTTTATTTTTCTCTAAATTGTAGTTTGGATATTTTCTATGAACCCGTCTTCCAGTTTACAAATCTTGTTTTTCACTGCATCTAATCTGCTGTTAAGTTCATCTATTAAGTTCTTAATTTTGGTTATTATATTTTTATTTATATGTTGTCTATTTAAATTATTTTTGTAGATTCTAATTATCTATGAAAGTTCTCCATCTTTTAATCTATTCTGTCATATTTTTCCATATGTTCTTCAATATATTTACCACAGTTATTTTAAAGTTTTTATCTTCTATCTCTCATTCTCTTAACTCTGCTTCTCTTATGTTTTTCTTCTTTCAGTTGTTCATCATAGAGGGCATGTTCATGTGCCCATTAATTGACTCAATGCTAGACATAAAAATTAGTAGAACCTTCAAATGATGTTCTGGTTCATGTAGTGGTGACCACTCTGCATGACCAAATTGGGTTGGGGCTGGGTGGGTGGCAGTGTCTGTAAGACTTGGACGGCTGCTGGTGTGCCTCTGTTGCTGAGATGTTGACCACCAGTATTTTTGGTTGAGAGCCTGGTAGATGTTTGCATCCTTTCAACTGAGAGACTGTGGGAGTTCCACTCTGCTCTTTTGAGAGGTGTTTGGCTTATCTCTTTAGGAGGCTGATGTCTTCAGGCAGAGAACAGTTTCTGGTTTTAGGTCATTTAAGTCTCTTAAATTATTACTCCCTCCCCGAGTGACCATTAAAAGCTCTGATCATTTTCTTAAGGGGATTATAATAGTTAACATTTATTAGTGCTAACCATGTGCTAGACATTTTTTTAAGAGCTACACATCTCTTTTTTTCTTCTTCTTTCTTTCTTTTTTTTTTATTTTGGTAAGAACAGTTAACATGAGATTTACTCTCTTAAATATTTAACTACACAATACAGTATCATTAACTACAGGCATAATGTTATACAGCAAATATCCAGAAAATGTTTATCGATGGATGAATGGATAAAAGAAGTATGATATATACATCTAATCGAATATTATTTAGCCTTTAGAACGATGGAAATCCTACCATATGATACAGCATGGATCAACCTGGAGAACATTAAGCTAAATGAAATAGACATTCATGAGAAGAAAAATACGGGGTGATTTCACTTGTATGAGGTATCTAAAATAGTCAAACTCATAGAAACAGAAAGTAGAATGGTGGTTGGCAGGGGTAGGGGGATGGGGAAATGGGGATTTGCTGTTCAAGGGGTATAAAGTTCCAGTTGTCCTAGTTGCTTTGTATCCCAGCAGGAGCCCTTTGCCTGGGGCCAGGCCTGGATTCTCAGCCTCAGCTCTTCCCAGATAGGTAAGGGACCCCTAGGAAAGGTGGTGGGAGGCCTCAGTGAAAGTCACCAGGCCTGGAGACCTTCCAGCTCTCATCTGTGATTCTCATGATTGTTTTCCCACTAGCAGGTTTTGTTTCTTTAGATCTGGAAGCCTGCAGGGAAATTCCATTCTGCTCTTTGAAGATTTTACTTAACCCCTTAGTCTTCTACCCTGTGTACCTCTGGAATTTAGTATGTGTTTTGATGGTAAAAAACTACTCTTTGAGGCCATGCAAATATCCAGTTTTGTCATTGCAACTCTTCGCACTGAGATCACCTCCACTGGTTTCTGTTTCACGGTGGAGGTCCTCTGCCTGGGCTGGCCCAGGATCTCAGCTTTACCTTCCCCCAGGATCTGCAAACACCTACAGCAATAGCTGAAAGTGCTCTGTGCACTGCTGCCAGGGACCTCCTTCTTAGGAGATTTACTATTTTTACTCCTCATTGCCTTTTTGGTTCTTTGAAATACATGTTTATTTATTTTGATGTATCTGGCTTTTCTGATTGTTTTTGGTGGAATAATTGCTCTTAAAGATCTCTCTCTTTCTTAGAAGCAAAAATCCTCGAAATATATTTTCAAATTTACTAAAGGTAGAGATTCAACATTATTAACTCAAAACACTGTGTAGGCTGTGTTAGAAAGAACCAACCAACCAACCAGCAAATAAATAACTTTAGGAGGACAGTCAATATTTTACAACCAGTTACTATGCAGCTAACTGGATATTTCTAAATCAACAAATCAACATATAACATCCTTATACAGCACTGAACAACTTATTGGACCCAGTGGTAGAGATGTTTTTATTTATTGCTATTTTGCGAGAGATTTACATTTCTTCCCTGCTTCATTTTTTAAGAGGAAAAAATTGGACACCAAATGCCACCTGTTTTACCAGTGATTCTAAAACATCCAAAAGAAAGAAAAAGAAGCTACTAAATATTTCTTGTGGAAAAACAATTTTTCTTATTTTTGGATTCTGCTAAGACCTTCTTTTAATTACAATACTGCTCCAACTTTGTGATGAATGGTTAGCATCATTTTGTGGGGAAAGGCAATTTCATTTCCCAGTCTGGGTCACCCTAATATTCCTGTGCCTAAAATGAAGGGGTTGAATTAGATGATAGCTAAATTGTTGTTTCTTTGACTCCCTCACAAGGTGAGATTTATTTTGGAGATTTATACTTTTTTCCTCAATGCATTTCTCAATAAATCAATTTGCATAACCAAAGTTTAAAAATTTCATACCAGTGAGTATAATGCTCCCCCCTCAGCTTTGTCCATTATCTAGAACTTGTCTAATCTAGTAAAACTGTAGTAGTACAGTCCTGAGACAGAAAATCATCATTATCTTGTATTCTGTTCTGCATGGCAGAATGCACTTCAAAAATTTTCTGGGGCTATTCTGATAGTCACAACTGAACAAAGCTGCATTCATCCACAGCTGAGCCATAATTGACTTAAGCTTCAAGGTTAAGTTGATACAGTGATTAACTGGTTTCATGAAACAGACAGTGAATAATACATATTTGAATGTTTAAACATTGTAATTTATTTAAAACATAATTTTGTGCTTTTTTTCCTAGAAATTTTGAAATGGCTTTTGGACATCAGAAATAATATTTTGATCTTCATCACCTGTGATCAGCAGATGCACAGATGTTTGTCTGTTAAAGAGATTGTTGGAAGTTTTCCTTGCCATGGTCTGGATGCTGTGCAGTACATCTAAATAATACAGCTACTCCAGGATGTGCTATGATCCTGTGCTGCTCTTCTCTACAAGCCCAAGACAGTATGTCAGGGATTAAGAGTTACTGGGCTTGGATTCTAGCCAAGCTCTACCACCAACCAATTCAAAGAATGTTCAGAATCCCTTTTTTCCCCTGAGGGTCTGATTGATCTTATCTTTAAAAATAGGATGTGTTTTGGGGCAAGGGGTAGGAGGTTGTAGCCTCATTGGTTTCCAAAAGGGGGCAGGGAGAGGGCAGTGCCACTCTCCTAAGAGCTTTGGGATATTATAAAGGTATGTTTTGGCTGTCACAAGGACTGGGGGTTGTTAGATGCAGTTGGAAAGCCTGAGGCCAGATATGGCAAACTTATGACAACTGAAGAATTGTATCAACCAAAACATGAATAAGTCTTTCTCCCTCTGAGAAACAGCAAGCAAGTGATCTCTACTGCTGTTTTCTCTGTCATTAGTAGTCTTCCAAAGACTCGTATTGAGCCTTATTTTGCCTTTTTCTAGCAAGTTTACACGGTTTCTTTGTTTCCATTCTAGACAGACCTCTCTAGACGTCAGATTCAGGAAGCAAGTCTACTGATTTCTCATCTTTAACCTTGTTCAGACCTCTCTGAAATTATGTCAGGATTCCAAAGACTTTTTTCCATAATTGTGTGGTGCCCAATATGTAAAATAGCCTCATTCTCTGATCATTTTTGTTTTCAGAGTCAGCTTAACTAATCCTAGTTTCCTTTTTCTTTTTTTCAGAGAGAACTCATGAGAAGCATTTCCTTCCCGAATCAATGGTCTACGCCAAGGTCAAATGCCCTTTACTTGCACAGTCCTTTCAACACTCCTTTCTTCCACGAAGCCTTCTGCTGACTCTCTGCCCAAGGGGCTTGGAGTGAGGTTCGAGGAGGATGAGTCAGGGGCTGGAGCATGAAGGCCAGGATTCATCTTGTATTTCTTCCTTAACTTACCTTTCCTTGTTCTGCTATGGTTGAAAAACCCTTCTCAAAAACTTCCAGCAGTGTATACCTGTTTAAAGAAGCAAGGCACAGAGCAAAGGAAATAAAATTTGTTGTATTTATCAATACCATTGACAACATTGTGAGTTTTTGTTCCTCTTCCCAGTTAGTACTCTCTCCCCCCCCCAGACCCCACCTGCCACAGCCAGTGCTTCCCATATATTTTTAAATGCTCAGAGTATTGTCTGGAGCATTATCTGGTCTGATTTTTTTCTATTAACATTTATGCCTCAGATATTTCCCAGCTCCATTTCCCTTCAAATATTTTATCTTAAAAGTTTAGAGCTGAAAGGCAAATTTGATGGAGTCTGAAACAGCCACCTCATTTGATAGGTCAGACCAGTACTGTCAATAGAAATATAAAGCAAGCCACGTATGTAATTTAAAGTTATCTAGTAGCTACTTCAAACAAAAGTAAAAGTAAACAAGTGAAATTAGTTTTAATTATGCACTTTAATCAACCTAAGACATCTAGAATATTATCGATATAAAATTCATTAATGAAT